CATTGGTAAACGCATGCATACACTTATATGCATCTAGACATATTCAAGTACATCTATTTCTCTCGTATATTTAGACTATAAATGCACTTATATACTCATGTATACTCATAATACACATTAGTGTTTATATATTTAAGTATACTGTGGTTATACATGAACATTCAGATTTATACGACAGATTTGGGTAAATATTTTTGGGTTTTTATCTCCAATCAATAAAAAAATTCCCGCCAAACCAAAAAAAAAACCTTTCCCGCCAAACCACAAAAAAAATCTTTTCCCGCCAAACCACAAAATTTCCCCGCCAAACCACAAAACCTTCTGCCAAAAACACAAAAACCTTTTCCGCCAAAACCACAAAAACCTTTCCCGCCAAACCAAAAAAACCAAACCAAAAAACCTTCCCGCCAAAACTGCAACGACAACCCTTCCCACCAAATCACAACAACAATAGCTTTTCCCGCCAAACCACAACAATAACAACCTTTCCTGCCAAACCACAAAAAAAAACCTTTCCCGCCAAACCACAAAAAAAACCTTTCCCGCCAAACCACAAAAAAACCTTTCCCGCCAAACCACAAAAAAAACCTTTCCCGCCAAACCACAAAAAAAAACCTTTCCCGCCAAACCACAACAATAACAACCTTTCCCGCCAAACCACAACAATAATAACCTTTCCCGCCAAAGCTAATCGCTGGCCGACGGATGGAAAATAGGTGACCGTGAGATGGCAACAACGCGCCTGGCAACCTAAGTAAAACCTTTCTTGATTTTTATTGAATTACGACATGAGCTGAACACGGCCAATCTTCCATTATTATGCTGGACAGAAGGGTTTTATTGAATTGCTCTCTGTATTAGATTTGTGTGTTTTATTTTTATTATTTTTATGGGGGACAATAATACACAGTTGCGGTGTTTGGATTGCAATTTTTCCCGCCATTTTTAGTCAAGTTCATTTTTTGTCGTCATATTCAGATGAGTAATTTTTTTGCCTTGATTCATACATACATACATATTTTATTTATTCAATTAACTATTTTTTTTACGTATTATTGAATAAACTTAAACAAATCTCTTATTTCCGATATTTATTTTTTTCTTCTTTCGGAATTTTTTTTATTGTTTGTTGTGTTTTAATTCATTATTCTTTCTTACTCTAGTAGTTTCTTGTGTTTATTTTGCATATGTTTCTATTTATGCAACTTTCCTCTCTTCTCTCTCTCATTGCTATCTCCCTCACTTAGCCTCCTTCTCTCCCTCACTAGACGTCTTACCCTCCTTCACCCCCCCTCTCTCCCTTCCTCCTACCTTCACTCCCTCACCCCGCTTCCTTCCTTCCTCTATCTCACTTACTCTCTCCCTCCTTCAACACATCATATTCTCCTTCCTTCCTTCCTTCCATCACACCCACCATCCACCTTCCCCAATACCTCACACCCACCATCCACCTTCCCCAATACCACACACCCACCATCCACCTTCCCCAATACACACACCCACCATCCACCTTCCCCAATACCACACACCCACCATCCACCTTCCCCACACCACACACCCACCATCCACCTTCCCCAATACCACACCCACCATCCACCTTCCCCAATACCTCACACCCACCATCCACCTTCTACCATACACCCACCATCCACCTTCCCCAATACCTCACACCCACCATCCACCCCCAATTTCTACCATCCATCTGTCCACCCCCCCTCTTCCACCACCTCCCCGTCGCCACATAACCCCCTCCATTTGGCCAGGTTCGGACGCCGCGGTCTATTGGCTCTCACAAATAGAGCAAACACAGTCCGGGGCGGGCGAATCTGGTTAAATAATGAGACGGCAACAAAGTGGAAAAGAAACAGCAGAGATTGGCAGGGAAAACAGTGGAGGGATTACGGCCAGATGAATATTTTCTTCTCTATTGTATTTCTTGACGGAAGTTGAGGGGAGGGGAGAGGAGGAGAGGAAAGGAGGAAGGGAAAGGGGGAGGGAGGGGAGGAGGAGGGGAGGAAGGAGGAGGGGAGAGGAGGAGAGGAAAGGAGGAAGAGGGAAGGGGAGGGAGGGGAGAGGAGGAGAGGAAAGGAGGAAGAGGGAAGGGGAGGGAGGGAGGGGAGAGTGGGATGGTATTTTGTTTTGAATTTCGATTTTGTTTTTGTTTTTCTCGGGGAAGGGAAATTATTTTTGTTATTTTCTCGTCTTTCTGTTGTTGTCTTTTGGTAATTTCTTCTTTGTTTTGTTTTTTCTTGTTCTTTTGATTTATGGAATATACACTTTTTTCCGTCTATTTCCTCATCTTTTTTTTTAACCTTTTAATTCTGTTTTTCCTTTTTATTATTTTACTTTTGTTTCTATAATTTTTCTTGTATCCTGAATCTTCAATCTTTTATTTAATTTTCTTTTATTTTCAATTTCATCTTTACTGCCAATTATTATTATTTTGCCAATTTTTCGTTTTAATTGATTTTTCTTTTTAGTTTAATATTGAGTGTGTTAGGTATGTGGTCTAAGTGTGTCATGTGAGTGTGTCCTGAGTGTGTTATGTGTTTTGAGTGTTATAGAGTGTCAAGTGCGTTAAGAGTGTGTAAAGTGCGCTAAGAGTGTGTAAAGTGCGTTAAGAGTGTGTAAAGTGCGCTAAGAGTGTGTAAAGTGCGTTAAGAGTGTGTAAAGTGCGCTAAGAGTGTGTAAAGTGCGTTAAGAGTGAAGAGTGTGTAAAGTGCGCGTTAAGAGTGTGTAAAGCGTAAGAGTGTGTAAAGTGCGCTAAGAGTGTGTAAAGTGCGTTAAGAGTGTGTAAAGTGCGTTAAGAGTGTGTAAAGTGCGTTAAGAGTGTGTAAAGTGCGCTAAGAGTGTGTAAAGTGCGTCAAAAACTGGATCACAATATCTTTCAACGATACGATATATTATTTAAAAGCTCGTAAGATAGTTTAAGATTACCTCAGTGTGTTTTCGTTATTTATGACTTTATTTTTCAATTATTTAATGGTTATTTTTATTACAAAGTTAGGTAAGATTTTTTTTTTTCGTATCTTGAGAGGAAATACACTACGAGAAATTACGAAATTTTCTGATTTTTTCTTGATAAATATTAGTTAATGTTTCTCTAGTTTTATCTTAAATAAAACCAAAATTGTAATGTTTTATTAAAGTTTTAAATTTGTATATTATTATTTTTTCAGAACTTTTAAATAATTATATTAATTTTGTATCCTGAAGTGATATTAAATTACAAATAGTCGTTAACATCACGATATTTGAACGTTTAGACGATAAGGTTGAAACGATAACTAACAAAGGAATTTCGTCACTAAGTCGTTAATATTCAGATGAAGTTAACATTATTTTCTCGCCTCCAAAAAAATAAACAGTTTTGCGGCCTCGTTCGTGGTAATGTTTTAACAACGATTATTTTTACCCCAACACACTGTAAGAGATTATTATGATTTTTTTCAACATCAGGTAAAATCATTTCATATATGACATTAAAAACAACATATTTTGTATCCAGGTATTGTATAAAAGATATTATATATTCTATTAAAAAGATTTATATTGCATTAAAAAACAATCATTTCGTTTCTATTTAATATTTGTGCTCTGAAACTTTTCTGTTCAATGTTGATATATGGAAACCCATTAGTGGAATGATGTTTTATCCGGAATTTTATTTATCCGGACTTTTATTTTAATTCATAAATATTTTATTTGTGGTTCTGGGAAAAAGTATAAGTAAAAAAAAGAATTGTATGGAAATCTAATTAAAGTGAGTAGAATTATGTTCATGAAATTACGTTAGAGAGATCAAAGAATTATATAATTTTTCACCGACAACACCACTTTGATAATATTAATTGTAATAATAATAATGACTAATAATAATAATAATAACAATAATGATAATAATAACAATACAGCAACAACAACAATAAAACTCAATAAAAACACAAACCATAAATAAAACAAAGTAAATAAACAAATTCACATGAAAATAAAATAACTAGAGTATAATAAATAACGATATAATTAATGTATCATGCGAGTATTTTGGCATAGGTGATAGAGCACTCGTCTCCTGCTCTGAGTCACTGGTTCGATCCAGGAGAACTTAATTTTACAGTCGGGGAATTAGAGGCAGTCGAGTGCAGTGCCGGCAGCAGGAGGGTGGATCAGTAGAGGCAGCGGATCAGTAGAGGCAGCAGGGGGTGGATGAGTAGAGGCAGCAGGGGGTGGATCAGTAGAGGCCGGGTGGATCAGTAGAGGCATCAGCAGATAGAGGCAGCAGGAGGATCAGTAGAGGCAGCAGATAGAGGCAGCAGGAGGGCGGATCAGTAGAGGCACAGAGGCAGCAGGGTGGATCAGTAGAGGCAGCAGGGGTGGATCAGTAGAGGCAGATGGATCAGTAGAGGCAGCAGGCAGCAGGGGTGGATGAGAGGCAACAGGTGGATCAGTAGAGGCAGCAGGGGTGGATAGAGGCAGCAGGAAGGTGGATCAGTAGAGGCAGCAGGAGGTGGATCAGCAGAGGCAGCAAAGGGTGGATCAGCAGAGGCAGCAATGCAGAAGGGTGGATCAGTAGAGAGCAGCAGGAGGTGGATCGGGGGGTGGATCAGTAGAGGCAGCAAGGCAGCAGGGGGTGGATCAGTAGAGGCAGCAGGAGGTGGACAGGCAGTAGGTGGATCAGGCAGCAGGAGGTGGATCAGTAGAGGCAGCAGGTGGATCAGGCAGGGGTGGACAGAGGCAGCAGGGGTGGATAGAGGCAGCAGGGGTGGATAAGAAGGCAGCAGGGGTGGATCAGTAGCAGGAGGTGGATCAGTAGAGGCAAGGTGGAAGCAGCAGGAGGTGGATCAGTAGAGGCAGCAGGAGGTGGATCAGTAAAGTCAGCAGGGGTGGATCAGTTGAGGCAGCAGGAGGGTGGATAAGTAAAGGCAGCAGGGGGTGGATCAGCAGAGGCAGCAGGTGGAGCAGAGGCAGCAGGTGGATCAGTAGAGGCAGCAGGAGGTGGATCAGAGAGGCAGCAGGAGGTGGATCAGAAAGTCAGCAGGGGGTGGATCAGTTGAGGCAGCAGGAGGGTGGATAAGCAAAGGCAGCAGGGGGTGGATCAGTAGAGGCAGCAGGGGTGGATCAGCAGAGGCAGCAGGAGGTGGATCAGTAGAGGCAGCAGGAGGTGGATCAGGAGCAGCAGGGTGGATCAGTAGAAGCAGCAGGAGGTGGAAGAGGCAGCACGGGGGTGGATCAGTAGAGGCAGGTGGATAAGGCAGCAGGGGTGGATCAGTAGGCAGGAGGTGGAAGAGGCAGTAGGTGGACAGCAGGAGGTGGAGCAGAGGCAGCAGGTGGATCAGTAAAGTCAGCAGGTGGATCAGTAGAGGCAGCAGGTGGAGGCAGCAGAGGGGATGGATAGAGGCAGCAGGAGGTGGATCAGCAGAGGCAGCAGGAGGTGATAAAGTCAGCAGGGGTGGATCAGTAAAGTCAGCAGGGGGTGGATCAGTCGCGGCAGCATGGGGTGGATCAGTAGAGGCAGCAGGTGGATCAGTAGCGGCAACATGGGGTGGATCAGTAGAGGCAGCAGGATCTACCCTGCTCGGTGTACGCCAATCCGTCAGTAATTCAATTAGCATCGTTTATATTCCGGGTCCAGAGTTGTGTTGGGGGGGAGGGGGGAGGGAAGGGCAATGGGGAGTGAAGGGAGGGGAGGAGTGAGGGGAAGGACAGTGGGTGTGAGGAGAGGGAATGTAGGGAGGGGAGTGAAGAGGGATGGAGGGAGAAGGATCTACCGGGAAGGGGGGAGGGAAGGGCTTGGGGGAGGGGTAGGTTTGGGGTCAGGAGAGTGGTACTTTCGGCGGAGGGAAGAAGGGAGTGTAGAAGCGAGGGAGGGAGGGGAGGGGAGGTTGGAGGGTAGGAGGGAGGACTGGAGTCTTGGTGGAGGGTGAATCGTAAGTAATGGTGAGGGAGGGAGGGAGGGAGGGAATAAGTAAATATATCACTAAATCAGACGAACAAATTATCTTTACGTATTTACTTTCCATCTTTCAGTGTCAACTTACCGCCCCAAAGCATCCTTCATTAATCTGTAAGACATAAACTCAAAACACACACTGAGAATATTTCATAAACAATGACGTCATAGGGACATATGTGACGTGTAACTATGTGAAAGAAAAGCTATTGAAACATGGGTTCATATATTTAAAATAACAGGGTCACGGTATACAGCAGCACGTGTGAGCAAAATATTCTTCATCTTGGAGGTGAATTAAACACATCCTCATGCAAATAAATAATGAATTATCTTTACACAGACCAATAACCTATTTTACAGCGATTTTTATTTTCCCTATACAAGAAACAATGTCAATTTGATTGCACATTTAAACACAGAGCAGAGACAACGCCATGGCGATGCCGGGTGTGGCTGTGGTACTCCTACATCGCTGCCAGCCGTATGTGACGAAACATCGCTGCCAGCCATATGTGACAACTGCAAAATGTTGTTATACATATTGTAACAACGCCACGATGTTATCATACAGAGGAATCAACAACAAATCGCTCTGACATGATTAACAAGAGTGCTGCCAGCCGTAGGCTGACAACGACAAATCAATGTAGGTTCTGCAAACGATACACCGTTGCCAGTCATAAATAACAACAACAACACAACGTTGGTAGTTGTGAGAGAAAACAACCCTTAATAACTGTGTTAGAGACGCAGCGTTATCAGTCAGGGGTCAAAACAACAGCTGTATGTACGGTGAGTGCTGCCAGCTGTACACCACAACGCTGCCAGCCATAAGAACATATAAAAGCATTGGTTGAAGCTGCAGCACAGTCACGCCCCCCTGCTGGCTACCCTGTGTACATCATCGAGTAAGACAAAAGTACTTCAGTCGGGAGTCTAAGAGAGTCTTGGAGGTTATGAGTTTCTTGAGGCCCTCGGAATGCCTTAACTCACTGGAGTATCTGGCGTACTGTGAGTTGTTAAGACCCACAAGGTCTTTAAGTCTCTGGAAATGGCTTCGGCCTCCAAGAGTATCCCAGGGCTCTTAGAATGACTTAAGACCCAGGAATAATTGAAGACCCTTGGAATGTTCAGAAATACCTTGGGACCCAGAAGCAGGTTGAGTGCTAGGGTACGCCTGGCTGCCCCTACACGGTGAGCACAACAGAAGCAGCAACACAGGACCAGCTAGGGGGCGCTATTTGGTCAAAAACACAGTTGCACTGGAGAAGGGAGATATAGATTCAACCATAAAAACAGCGCCACCTCGAGCATTCAAAAGCGCCTGACGTTTCTTTTCACCTTGTAGGAGCAAGTTTGTTGAAACTACGCCTGGTGAACGTGAGCTCGCCTTTTGCTAGTCATGGCATTGTTTTGATGGTGGGGGTTATACTACAGCTAAAGTGACGCCATGCTGACAAGACACACTACAACAAGCTCACACTCAATGATATATATTTACATTTACATATCTTGTTGTCACTGATAACCTGAGCAAAGAAAGTTTACATCTCTCTTGCGTTACCAGGATATATATAATGATATATACAAAATCCCAGATACAGAAAATTGTTTGTATTTTCTATATATTATTAACATATAACCACACAGTAGCTGTATAACTGTATCATACATCATAAGGAAAAGTCTTCAAGGTGTTGCTGAGTCCATCACTAGAACAGTAGTTGATGTTGTCACAAGGTGTCTCCTCTCTCAGTATAAGTTGGTACGTGAGTGTAAACAGTCCACGTCTCAACACAGCGTTGATCACAGCACAAAAATTCAACGTCGATCGAGGTGGGCAGTGAAGGTCTGACAGTCTCCTTGGTAGTCCTGCCAGTGTGTGTGTGTGTGTGACGGTGATGCTGTAGTGTTGACGGCCACCACCACCTGACATAAGAGAATACAGCACACTCCACCAACACTGCTGGGTCAGGAGCGTCAGAGTTGAGCAAAAGATGATCGTAATTATTGCCTTCTTCACCAGGAACCAACATCATCCACCGACCAGCTGTCCCTCCCCCACCCGCCCCTAACCACAGCGAGGGATGGCATCATGACTTTAACACCAGTGGGGGTCACATCCACCACGCTCTTCGCTCTCTCGTTACTGATCAGTGGCCGGTAGCTGGGAATATTTGTACACTCTGGCTCACTCACGTCACGATGAACACACACCAGCGAACATGCCGTCAAAATCACACTGAACCGCCATCTTAGGCCACACGTCCTCTCAGCTCTCAACTAAAGGAACAAATATTACAATATATCTTTTTATGAGAATCAGAGTTCAGCTTCAGGTACTTTAGCATTGATCATCCTCATATACACCACAGAACAGTACAATACAGACGCCAGTGTTACCAGATCAGTGAATGGCCGACTTACATGAACTCAGAGAAACATGCTTTAATGGATGAGGTTTTGGGTAACATTGTTCTGATTTGAGGGAGGGATAAGACCACACCTGGACGAGGACACTGATACTAAGGTGGTTTATGTCCTTTAGGATGGTGATTATGTCTTGTGCCTCTACCTCCCCCTCCTCCCAGGTAACTTCCGGCCTCTGAGTTAGGTTAAATTTGCGTTAGATCAAGTTATATTACGTTAGGTTTGGTTAGATTAGGTTAAATTAGCGTTAGATCAAGCTATATAAAAGTTAGGTTTGGTTAGATTAGGTTAAATTAGCGTTAGATCAAGCTATATAAAAGTTAGGTTTGGTTAGATTAGGTTAAATTAGCGTTAGATCAAGCTATATTAAGTTAGGTTTGGTTAAATTAGCGTTAGATCAAGTTATATTTAGTTAGGTTTGGTTAGATTAGGTTATATCAGGTTAGCTGGGGGTGTTTAATCATCATGTGGTCTCATCTTAGTGTCATTCCTCACCTGATAACATGGCGGGTCTATTGTAACACACGGGAGAGATTACCATTACCAGCCCAACACCTGCATGTACTGTATGTGTGGCTGAGGAGTGGCTTCTTGTGACTGTTAGGGCCCAAGCGATGTTCCTTTTAGTGTGGTCTTGAAGTTGGTGGAGGAGTGGCGCTGGCGTCTTGTAGAGAACTTAGAGGAGTCGTGTAGATAACTTAGCGGCGTCTTGTAGAGAACTTAGAGGCGTCGTGTAGAGAACTTAAGAGGCGTCGTGTAGAGAACTTAGAGGCGTCGTGTAGAGAACTTAAGAGGCGTCGTGTAGAGAACTTAAGAGGCGTCGTGTAGAGAACTTAGAGGCGTCATGTAGAACGTTGAGGCGTCGTGTAAGAGAGGGTCGTGTAGACAACTTAAGAGGCGTCGTGTAGAGAACTTAAGAGGCGTCGTGTAGACAACTTAGAGGCGTCGTGTAGACAACTTAAGAGGCGTCGTGTAGAGAACTTAAGAGGCGTCGTGTAGACAACTTAAGAGGCGTCGTGTAGAGAACTTAGAGGCGTCGTGTAGGCTCCAATATTGGGTCTGTAGTCGTGTGAGTTAGGTCCCAAGAAGCTATACCAATTGGACTCTCTGGTCTTGGGACTCTGGGTCAGCAGGAGTCCTCAGAGATAACCAAATCTTCAGTCAGCCAGAAATCAGTCACGAAGTCTTCAATGAGATGTTTATGTTGAGTCTCAGGGTCTATTGCTCTCAGGAGGCTCAGTCCGCGGCCCTGAGAGTTAGGTCTGCGGCATGGTCAGCCCAAGAGCCTCAGCGTGCTTTCGGGCCTTCAGTCTCAGCTCAGCTATGGAGGAGTTCTTGGAGGAGACTCTCTCAGCGGCGGCCAGAGCTGAGAGGGCCAGTGGGTAGGTCGGGTGTGGGTAATACAGTAGCGGTGGAGACGTCAGAGGGTTACTGCTGTTGCTACTACTGTTGCTGCTGTTGCTACTACTACTGCTGCTACTGGCGCTGCTGCTACTGCTGCTGGTGCTCGATACTCCCGTCATGCCCAGAGACACAGCTGCTGCGGCGTACTGCAGGAGGGAGAGAGAGACCCGTGTTACTGTCTGCTTAATGTTATTGTTTAGTGATTATTAGATTGGCTAGTGGATGTATTATTATTATTATTATTATTATTATTATTATTATTATTATTATTATTATTATTATTAGAGGCTATCTGATTAAACGACCTATGACAGGTATGTATGTGTCTAACCATTGCAGGCAGGTATATGATTTAACCATTACAGGGCTGTCTCACCTGGTGGGCGGCGGAGAGTATGGCTGGGTCTAGAGAGAGGGCGGGTAGGCTGGGGAGTCTGTCGTAGGGTGGTGGGTGTAGACGTAAGGGTGACACATAAGGCGCCACCCTGCAGGCCTCCAAGGGTACGCCCACGCTCCCAGTACCGCCCAGACCCACGCTAGCTGACGACATGACGCTCAGGGGTGAGGCGCCCCCTGACGTGGGTGACAGTAACATACCAGCTGTGTGGGAGAGAAGACCTGGGTGTGGGTGTGAGTTATTTCTCTATCTCTATATCTCATTTTGTCTCTCACTCTCTCTCTTTTACTCTCTTTCTGTCACTTTGCCTGATTTTCACACACACACACTCTCTCTCTCTCTCTCTCTCTCTCTCTCTCTCTCTCTCTCTCTCTCTCTCTCTCTCACACCCATCACTCACTAATCACCATCGTCGAGAAGAGTGACAAAAAAAGAAGACTTAATGACCCCATAAGCGATAACATCATTAGCGATTATTTATTCATAATGACATCAATTAGCGTCTCTCAATCTAATAATGATCAAGTCTGTTGAATAATTAACAAAAACACACAGCAACTTTATCTTTTCGCTTCCGACTGAATACAGACGAACACACAGACAAGGCCATTCATCTGACAGACACACAGACAGATTCAGACAGACGCAGACACTAGTAATTTGTCCTAGTACTTTTATACCTGTACCTGTATTGTACACCAGGTGGGATTAATGTACCTGTTACTTTATACCTTTACCTGTACTCTATGGAAAAGTACGTTACTTAATTAAAACACCTGAGCGCATGCGTTACTTAAAAGGTTTCTGAGTACATTAATTATAACACCTTAAGAGTGTACGTTATTTAAGACTCACTAATTACCTCATCCTTCATTACCTAGTACAGTACCTACATCATTAACACCACCCAAAAAAATCGTCTCTCAAGTAAAAAAACAAACACGGATGATATTTTTACCTTCCTTACCTCGCTTGTTGGTGAGTAAAGTAAAAAAAAATACATAGATTCACTCTCAGGTAAAAGCCACAGCAATTTGGAGGGAAATATGTGTTGACAAGCAGTTCATAAACGAAAGAAGAAAAAAAAACTATATATGCCTGGCAGCGACGTTGTTACTCGTGGATCCCTTAAGCTGGCGCGGGGGATGTCACAAAATGGCTTCTCCACTGCGCTTTTGTTTCCCCGGTATTGGACTTAATCACTTAATTCCGCCCAAACTTTCTTACGGGGCGAATCCTCTGGCGAGTCATTTTCTGAGGCGATCATGAAGAGAAAGAGTGTGAGAGAAGAGAAGAGAAGAGAAGAGAGATAGCAGGTATATTAAAAACTTAAAAAAAAAAAAAAAAAACCCTCGTATTAATTTTGGCGCCAGATCCTGTTGACAGCATCGTCCAGGCTTGGTTTAATGCGAATAATGTTGATAATTCTGAGATAATTTTGCACTCTCGACGCCATAAACTCGGGCTGAAAGTTTGGTAATTAGCCCAGTTGCCTGAATATGATTAGCCCGGATTTTCCAGCCTCTCGGCGTTGTGTACATCGTGTTAATGACATTGTCGCGACGCCCCGGACTAATTGGATTTAGTCTTTATCAGATTAGCAGATTTTCAGATTCCTGGATTTGCATAATTTTGAATCCTTGAGTGTTGGCGGGAAAATAAATGAAGGACTTTGTGTGAGAGCGGATACCAGGGGGACATTGTGTGACGCAGGGGAGTGTGTGACGCAGGGAGGACAGTATGTGTGACGGCGAGTATGTGACGTGAAGTGTGTGTGTGTGACGGGGATAGTGTGACGGGGACAGTGTGTGACGGGGAGGACAGTGTGTGACGGGGCAGTGTGTGTGTGTGAGGGGGAGGATAGTGTGTGTGACGGCGAGTGAGGTGGAGTGTGTGTGACGGGGAGAATAGTGTTGTGACTTGGGGCAGTGTGACGTAAATGAGTGTGTGCGTGACGGCGTGTGTGACGCAGAGGACAGTGTGACGGCGGATACGAACCGGTCTGCTAGTGTCTACGTTCTCACCTGAAGATGTGCCGGAGGCTACCTGAGGGACACTGTGTGACGGAGACTACGAGAGAGGGAGTGTGACGGAGATTATGGGAGAGGGAGTGTGTGACGGAGACTACGAGAGAAAGGGAGTGTGACAGAGACTACAGGAGAGGAGTGTGTGACTGGAGACTGCAGGGAGAGGGAGTGTGTGACAGAAGTACGAGAGAGAGGTGTGCTGACAGAGACTACAGGAGAGAGTGTGACCAGAGACTACAGGGAGAGAGGGTGTGTGGAACTACGGGAGAGGGAGTGTGTGACCCAGGAGAGTACAGAGAGAGGGAGTGTGTGACGGAGACTACAGGGAGAGGTGTGTGACAGAATTCTGAGAAGGGAAGTGTGACAGGAGACTACAGGAGAGGAGGTGTGTGACAGACTACAGGAGAGGGAGGTGTGTGGCCAGAGCTACAGGAGAGAGGAGTGTGTGACGGAGACTGGGAGAGGTAGTGTGAGCAGGAGACTACAGGAGAGGGTGTGTGACAGAGACTACGAGAGAGGGAGTGTGACGGAACCTTGAGGGTGTGTGGGGAACTACAGGGAGAGGGGAGCCGTGTGATGGAGACTACAGGAGAGGGAGTGTGTGTGACAGAGACTACGAGAGAGGAGTGTGTGACAGGTTGCAGGAGAGGGAGTGTGAGACACGGGGAGGAGGGGTGTGACAGGACTACGGAGAGAGTGTGGAGACGGAACTACGAGGAGAGAGGGAGGGGTGTGACAGGACTGCAGGGAGAGGAGTGTGGGCAGAACTACAGAGGGAGTGTGTGACGGGAGCTACGAGAGAGGAGTGTGACGGGGGCTTCCGAGGAAGAGGGGAGAGTGTGGCAGAACTGAGAGAGGGAGTGTGACGGAGACTACGGGAGAGGGAGTGTGTGACGGAGACTACGGACAATGTTACAGGAAACAGTAACAAATTTTTATCTTTGAAGGGAAGCGTCACGCCCCGGTGCCCACAGTGTTAACGCTGCTCATCGCTTGTGTTGACGTAGCTGCCATAGGCGATGTTATTATTGAGTGTGTAGTCCATCACCATGAAGTTAGGTGATGTTGGCGTTGATGTTGGCGCTATGTTGATGATGTTGGCGTTGTGTTAATGATGTTCCAAACGTCAAGTATTCCCGCGCAACTCACCCACAAGTTGACAGTCGACTCCCTACCACCACCACACAGTCAGCCACTACGCGTTGCCATTCCTCCTCCCCCCACCCAAAGCTGGTTAAGTAGTGCAGCTTTCCGTTCCACAGCACGGCGGGATAATTGCTGCTAATGTCACGACAAAAATGACGCGGAACCCAGCAAAGCGAGTGATTACACGACGATAATAAGAACCATTATGGAAATATGTCACAGTGTTAGTTCCTGGTAATGAGAAAAGTTTCCCTTGTCAACACGGCTAATTGTGAATCATGTGGACTAAATGGGGTTCATATTTAAGATGAGGCGCAGTCAGAGAGAGAGTCGCAATAAACGAGAAAGGAATATAATGAGCCATTAAAAACTTTTGATGCCGGTGTAGTGGAAAAAAAACTGATAATTGGTCTGCAGATTGAAGCAAAAATAGTCTTAGATTCATATCACCGCCGCGTTAACTGTTTATATTCCGTTGAAAAATACAATGGCAATCTTTATGTTCGTAGACGATAAGTGAGTTTTCATTATTACTCTCAACACGACTGACTCCTATTTTCCCCAGGTACACTAAAAAAAAAATAACTACGGAAATATGCGAAACAAAATAATAAAAAGAATGAAAGAGAAACAGAGAGAGAGAGAGAGAGAGAGAGAGATAGAGCGTAAAAAAAAAAAGCGAAAAAGAAAAATGGCGCTAAACTCGAACGGTTCCCAAACTCCAGTAAATAAATCACAGGCATCAGCACGGCCGAGAAATCCAATCCCTAGCAATAACAATAAAATTAAAACTCTTCGCTCGGTCCATAATGGTGTTCTGGGCCTGTCAGTTGATTTAGAAAGTTTTCAAATCGTAAAATTAGGGGAGTGAGACATATAATTCGATCAGTCGCCGACAAATCAGGGGGCTGTGAAAAATTTACCATCTCCCTCTGGTGTGCTTGGACGCTAACTTTACGCCGTCATTCTGTTAATTCAATTTTTATGGCCATGTCAAAACGTACTAAGATACCATTGCTATTTTTACCCCTTGTTTCTTACTTCTTCTTTTTCTTCTACTTCTTCCTGTATCTTTGTTTTCTTTTGTTAATTTATGTTTAGTGACGTTTTTTCCAAGTTGGTGAGACAAGATGATTTGTGAGTCGCTAGGGGGAGGGAGAGGGGAGGCGGGGAAGAAGGGAGAGGGAAGGAGGGGAAGAAGGGAGAGGGAAGGAGGGGAAGAAGGGAGAGGGAAGGAGGGGAAGAAGGGAGAGGGAAGGAGGGGAAGAAGGGAGAGGAGGGGAAGAAGGGAGAGGAGGAGGGGAGGGCTATGATGTGAGGTAGAGGCAATAAGTTTGACAGATAGATAGATATTCATTCAGAGAAATCAACGTATAAACTCACATTGATTTACCATATAGACAGCTCAGGTATACAAACAAAATGTACCTTAACCTAACCTTAACTCAAACCTACTCTAACCCTTCAAACACGACTAATCCAACATCTCATTTACCTTACATACGGAATTTCATCGTAAGACAACTGAAGCATTAAGAACTGGTGTGATTGGATCGTTAACTAGACGGGACAGTAAACTAAGTTACAGCAGTGTGAAAAGTGAGAGGTTACGTGTTAATAACTGATGTTGTGTAAACTAATGGATTACCTTAGTTATGACAGGTAAACTATCTAACCTAATACAGAGATTAATTATTACAGGTAAACTATTTAAATACCTAATTAAATACCGTTAAAAGTATAGATACAGGTATACACATAATTACAGGTAGACAGATACAGGTATTTTATGCATGATACAACCTGGAGGTAAAGATTTAAAACCCAGGATGAACAACGCCAATGATTACCTCAAGCCCGCTTGGACACGGTAATGGAATTAAAGGTCTCCTAGACAGACTATAAACACCTTAAAGACAGACAGACAGACAGACACAGATAGACAGACAGACAGACAGACACAGTAGGGGTATTATCTCCAACAATCATATTAAAGGCCTCGAGGCGTGTTTTGCACTCCGTTGATTTTTTTCCCAGTAAAAAGTCAGATTAAGGCAGCGTGTTCTTATATCAGATTAGCGTCATTACCCATTCTGCTCACATCCCAAGGCGCCCTCCTCCTCCCCTACCACCACCACCACGCCACCCGCGCCTTCCTTCATACCATCTCCAACACCACTACCACGCCACCCGCGCCTTCCTCCCCACCACCACCACCACGCCACCCGCGCCTTCCTTCATACCATCTCCAACACCACTACCACGCCACCGCGCCTTCTCTACCACCACCGCCACCGCGCCTTCCTTCATACCGTCTCTAACGCCACCGCGCCTTCCTATAACGTCTCCAACACCACCCGCGCCTTCCTTCATACATCCTCCACTTCCACCACCACGCCACCGCCTTCCCTCATACCATCTCCACCACTACCACGCCACCCGCGCCTTCCTTCATACCGTCTCAACACCACTACCACGCCACCCTTCCTTATACATCTCGACACCACCAGCGCCTTCCTTCATACCGTCTCAACACCACTGCACATTTTCCAACCACACCCACGCCACCCGCCTTCCTTCTGATCTCAACACCACCACCACCGCTTCTCCACCACCACGCATTTCCTTCATACCGTCTCAACACCACTACCACGCCACCCGCGCCTTCCTTCATACCGTCTCCAACACCACTACCACGCCACCCGCGCCCTTCATACCATCTCCACACCACCCGCGCCTTCCCTCATACCGTCTTCAACACCACTACCACGCCACCGCGCCTTCCTTCATGCAAATCTCTAACGCCACCCGCGCCTTCCTTCATACCGTCTCCAACACCACTACACGCCACCCGCGCCTTCCTTCCCGTCTCAACACCACTACCACGCCGCGCCTTCTCGTTCACCTACCACCACCGCCTTCCTTATACCGTCTCCAACACCACTACCGCCACGCGCCTTCCTTCTACCATCTCCGACACCACCGCGCCTTCCTTCATACCGTCTTCAACCACTACCACCACCCGCGCGCCTTCCTTCGTACTCTCTAACGCCACGCCTTCTTTCATGCCGTCTCCAACACCACTACCACGCCACCGCGCCTTCCTTCATACCGTCTCCAACACCACTACACGCCACCCCGCCTTCCTTCATTATCTCAACACCACTACCACGCCACCCGCGCCCCCTCATACCATCTCCACACCACCCGCGCCTTCCTTCATACCGTCTTCAACACCACTGCCACCCCCCCCTCTACCACCCACCACGCCACCCGCGCCTTTCCTCCACCACCGCCACCCCACGCCCTTCTCACCACCACCACGCCCCCACCTACCCTTCCTCTACCACCACCACGACCCGCCTTCTCTACCACGCCACTCTACCACCACCCGCTCACCTGCCCTCTCACCACCCACCACACTCTACCACCACCACCACCCCGCCAGCTCCCCTAGTCAACGTCTTATTCGATGCCATATGTATCCTGTTCTGTCCTCTCGTCTCCTACCACCTCCACCGCCTCTTCACGCCTCCCACGCCTGGTCCACGCCACTCCCACGTGGCCTACACGCCTCCTCTCTCTCTCTCTCTCTCTCTCTCTCTCTCTCTCTCTCTCACATTAGAGATAGCTCACCTTTGTGCATCTGGCTCTCGTGTTTCCTGCACTTGGCCCGACGATTCTGGAACCACACCTGCCGGGTAAACCAGAGTTACACACTGAGAAATACCTGATAATTACCTTTGTCATTATAATTAGACAGTGATTATTACCTTTAGAATTATAAGTAAACATTGATAATTATTTTTGACACTGAGAAATACCTGATAATTACCTTTGTCATTATAATTAGACAGTGATTATTACCTTTAGAATTATAAGTAAACATTGATAATTATTTTTGACACTGAGAAATACCTGATAATTACCTTTGTCATTATAATTAGACAGTGATTATTACCTTTAGAATTATAAGTAAACATTGATAATTATTTTTGACATTGATAATCTTGATAATTGCCTTTTGTCATTGAAATTATATAATCAAAATTACCTTAAAATAGTGAGAAATACTAAACAATTATAATAACGTAAAGTCATTAATAATTACATTTATATAAAGAAACAAATAAATTATCTTCACAAATAGAATTAAACGTGAGGAAAAGGGTTGGGGGTTTTTAGGTGGGGGGGTGTGAAGGTGAAAGTGGGGGAGGGTGGCGGATAGGAAGCAGGATAGGAAGCAGGATAGGAGGCAGGATGGAGAGAAGGATCCTAAAGTAGAAGACATACTGGCCTGCCTCTTGGTCATGGCGGGTACATCACTACCAGTCACAATATATCCCTCAGCCTGGAGTTATGGCCTTCCTCTGCCCCACCCCACCCCACCCCACCTCGCCTTGCCCCGCCCCTACCCCTCCTATAGTTAACTCTTCTTAATCTCTCACCTCCCCACACCTCTTTAACCTTCCTCACCCTGCTCCACCCCACCCTGCCCTCCCCACTTCCCGCCCATACCTCTTCCCACCCCTACCCCACCCAGCACCTCCCCATCCTGCTCCTCCCCACACCTCCCCTCCCCACCCTGCTCCTCCCCACCTCCCCTCCCCACCCCTGCTCCTCCCCACCTCCCTCCCCACCCCTGCTCCTCCTCCCCAACAGTAAAGGCCCTAAAAAGTCAGTTAACAGTTAGTTATAGAGCGGGAGGCCAGAGTGGACAGGGCAGGTCTGTTTTATCTCCTATTAACAAGAACTGACTGATCTGAGGATGACGGGGTGTGGGGTTGATGTGTGGGGGGCGTGGGGCGTGGGGGGTGTGGGGGGCGTGGTGGGGGGCGGGGTGGGGGGCGTGGTGTGGGGGCGTGGGGGTGTGGGGGGCGTGGGTGGTGTGGAGGCGTGGGTGTGGGGGCAGATTTGGAGGGGGGGGTGTGTGAGGAGGGAGGGCAGTTTTTGGAGGGGGGTGTGTGAGGGGTGGGAGAATGGGGGGGAGGGGGAGAGGGAGGAGGGAAGGTGAGGGAAGAAGTGGGGAGAAGAGAACAGGACGGGGGGGGAGGAGGGAGGAGGAGAGGAAGGTGGAGGGAAGAAGTGGGGGAGAAGAGCAGGGACGGGGAGGGAGGGGAGAGGGAGAGGAAGGTGAGGAAGGAGTGGGGAGAACAGGACAGGGGGGGGAGGGGAGGGAGGAAGTGGGGAGAAGAACAGGACGGGGAGGGGGAGGAGGGAGGAGAGGAAGGTGAGGAGAGTGGAGAAGGGACAGGACGGGGGGGGGAGGAGGGAGGAGGGAGGAGACAGTAATTGTGTTAGTTCATCTCATAAGAGTGGTCACCGTCTTCGCGTCTTTCTCCTGATTTTACCTGTCTAGATGGTCTGTCAGTCACCCTCTGCTATCTGTCTGTCTGTCTGTCTGTCTCTCTCTCTCTCTCTCTCTCTCTCTCTCTCTCTCTCTCTCTTCTCTCTTCTCTTCCTCTCTCTGTCTATCCTACAACCTGTCTCTAGGTTTGTCTGTCAATCTGTCTATTTTCCATCTGCCTGTCTGTCTGTCTGTCTGTCTATCCTGCTATCTGTGCGTGCGTCTGTTTGTCGGATGATCTAGTGATGTGTCTGTGTGTCTGTCTGTGTGTCTGTCTGTGTGTGTGTCTGTCTGTGGGTCTGTCTGTCTGTGTGTCTGTCTGTGTGTCTGTCTGTGGGTCTGTCTGTGTGTCTGTGTGTCTGTCTGTCTGTCTGTGTGTGTCTGTCTGTGTCTGTCTGTGTGTCTGTGTGTCTGTCTGTCTGTCTGTGTGTCTGTCTGTCTGTCTAATAAGTTCATCTTAGGAGCAATGGTGAGGGGGAGGAGGGAGGAGGGAAGGGAGGAGGAGGGGGAGGAGGGAGGAGGAGGGAGGAGGAGGAGGAGGGGAGGGAGGGGGGAGGAGGAGGAGGAGGAGGGGGAGGAGGAGGAGGGAGGGAGGAGAGGAGGAGGAGAGGAGGAGGAAGGGAGGAGGGAGGGAGGGAGGAGGAGGAGGAGGGAGGGGGAGGAGTGGGGGGAGGGGTGGGGAGGAGAGGAGGGTGCAAGAAAAGTGGGGGTGTGGTGGAGAGTAAGGATTGAGGACTTGAAGGGGTGTAAGGGTGCTGGAGGAGGGCTGGCGTGTTGGAGGGGGCGTGTTGGAGGAGGGCGTGCTGGAGGAGGGGGTGTTGGAGGAGGGGGGGCGTGGTGGAGGGGG